AGCGCTCCGGCAGTTGCCTCTCCAGCGCCCCTCTGCGGCCGCCGCCCGAAGCCATGGCTCGCTCCCGCGGCATTGCTGCGCCGGCCGCGCTGGCCGCGGCCGTGGCGCTCTGGGCCTGCTCCGTGGTGGGGCGGTGAGGGCCCTGGCCATTGCCCTCCTCCTCCTCCTCCTTCTCCTCCTCCTCCCGCTCCTTCTCCTCCTCCTCCTCCTCCTCTTCCTCCTCCTCCTTCTCCTCCTCCCTTCCTCCTCCCCCTCCTCCTGCTCTTCTTCTCCTCCTCCTCCTCCTCCTCCTCCTCTTCTTCTCCCTCTTTCTCCTCCTGCTTCGTGCCTCTTCCTCCTCCTCCTGCTCCTTCTTCCTGCTCCTCCTCCTCCTGCTGCTGCTGCTCCTCCTCCTCCTCTCCTTCTCCTCCTCCTCCTCCTCCTCCTCCTCCTCCTCCTTCTTCTCCTCCTCCTCCTCCTCCTCCTCCCCCTCCCCCCTTCCCCCTCCTCCCCCTGCTCCTCCTCTTCCTCTTCCTCTTCCTTTGGTACAACGGTAACAGACGATGACAATGAGACGATCTTCCGGGCGCCCACGAGCACGTCGAAATATTTCAGAATGCCATTGCAGAGGCCCCGTCTTTGCAACGAGGTTTGGAGTTTCGCCATCTTCACTCCTCTGCCTGGTCTTGAACCAGGAACGCGGCGCGAATGATAACTACACACTTGAAAGCTCCTGATATGCAGGGAAAGAGAAGGATGAGCGAGAGAACTACGCGGCACCACACACAGACAATGCATGCGAAGCACACGCTGGCGAGGCAGCAAGAGAGGGGTATATGATAGACGAGACTACAGATGCTGGGGTAGATTACAACAGTGTCCTGGAATAGTGGGGTAGATTCAGCAACAAATGCATCGAAAGCCGTACTCGCTACTCCAGCTGCTGCTGAAAAACCCACCCAGATCGCCACAGCAGCGAATAGGGAAATCACGGGCACCAGTGCAGGCAGGATTGCGATGCCGTCGTTCACCTGTGGTCTCAGAGGCGATGCCCTCGCGACTGCCAGCAAGAGTATGTCGACCAATCCGATCCCAAGAATGGCATAGACAACCATATGCAAGCTTCACAGAAGCTTGTGATCACTGCTACCGTAGTGGCGACGCCGTTGCGCCGACACGTGGGCGCAGAGCTGCTGCAATCTCTCCCTCTTGGGTCTTCCCGGGCGTCTTGCCGAGCCCGTTCTCGCTGGGCGTGTGGTTCCGCGCCGTGTGCGCAACGTCGGCCGTGTGCACCGACTGCCTCCAGGAAGGCCCCGTGCTCCTCGTCCCCGTTGGCGATGTCCTCGTTCGGGCCGGGCTGCACCGTGTGCGTAGTGTCGGCCGTGCTGCCGATTGCCTCCAGGAAGGCCCCGTGCTCCCCCTCCCCGTCGGAGATGTCCTCGTCCGGGCCGAGCTGCCGGGCCAACCCCTTGGGGATCGGGTCCGGGATGTCCCGGGTGGCCGGGGCTGCGGGCAGGAGGAGGAGGAGGAGGAGGAGGAGGAGGAGGAGGAGGGGGAGGAGGAGGAGGAGGAGGAGGGGGAGGAGGAGGAGGAGGAGGGGGAGGAGGGGGAGGAGGGGGAGGGGGGGAGGAGGGGCTGCGGGCGGACGACTCCGGGCATCCTCGGCTGCCTGGGAGCTCTCAGGAGGGGACGGACACACACACACACACACAGACACAATCCAGCGTCGCTTCCCCGAAGATGTGGGAAAACATGGGCAGGGCGAGGGCGGGCGAGGGCAGAAACCCAGGAAAATGGGAAAATACGCGGAATCTGCTGATTTGTGCGCAGTTGTCTGCGCGCCCTGGGCCCCTTCAAGCTCCGGGGGCCGCAGCCTCCGCCGCCCGCGAGGCGCGTTGGCGGGGGCGCGGCCGAGGCCGTGGCCGGCGGCGGCGCCCCGTGGCCTGCGCGGTGCCAGCTCGTGGCCCTGCTGCTCCTCTTGCGGCTCCTCCTCCTCCTCCTCCCCCTCTCCCCCTCCTCCTCCTCTCCTCCTTCTCCTCTCAAGGGGCCCAAGGACACACAAATTAATACACACAAATGAAAGGATTCCCCACATTTTCCTCTGTTTTCTGGTTTTTGTCTTCCGCCCAATGCCCATGTTTTCCCATATTCTCTTGGGGATCGACGATTCATTGTGTCTGTGTGTTTTTTCCCCTCCCGATCCTCCTCCTCTTCATCCTCCGCTTTGTGCTACAGTTTCCGAGGAAAAGGATGATGGTGGCCCTCTGCCTCTAGCCCGACGGGGGGGGGTGCGTGGCGTGCCCCCCCCCCCCCCCCATGGCCGATCCGCTTCGGGGGCCAGCTCCGCAAGAGCCCAGGTGCCCAGCGGTCCTCGCAGGAAGCCGGCGCGGGGCCGCTGCGCACGCTCGCGCCTCCGGCGCTGCGAGGGCAGCTGCCTGAGTGGAGTCGGGCCCGTCCCTCTGCAGGAGGAATGTTCAGGAGGAGACAAAAGATAGTCCGGGGATTGTGTTTTGATTATTTT